GTTTGGCACCGGTATCGGATAAAACCTAAACGATACCCATCCCTAGTCACGATTACCTCTAAAAATCCAAGGACGTGACCAAAACACTAAATGTATTATTTTCAGCCAGATTTAGAAAGCAAGGGTCTCCAACTCCAGCCCTCGAGAGCTACTGTCCTGCAGCTTTTAGATGCATCCTTGTTCCAACACACCTGAATCAAATGAACGGCTTTGCCACACTTGAGGTAATTCGACCATTTGATTCAGCTTGCTGGAGTAGCTGACACTAAAAGCTGCAGGACAGCAGCTCTCGAGGACTAGAGTTGGAGACCCCTACTTTAGAGCCTTTACAGGCTTGTGCCAACTTCTAATCACAGTCAGCGTGTGTGGTATAGGTCAGTGGGTTTGCCACATTACCAACGTCTTCCTCCATAATGTATTTCAGGACTACTTGACTGTAGAAGGAGACCTGACCTATCTTCCAGGTGAGACTCAGAAGATAGTTCCCGTTCGTCTCCTGGAGCTGAGTGAGAAAGATGGTCTACTAGAAGACAAACAGGTCAAACAGTTTGTCATGGACCTCAGTAATCCAAGGCAGGGTGCCAAGCTGGGACGCTACCCGAGAACCACTGTTACCATCGCAGACCTGCCAGGTAAATGGATGCATGAGTGTTCTGATCACAGCCTTGATTCTAAGAGAAGAATTGATCGCTAAAGTTGCTCCTCTTTCCCACATTATCGTTCTTTATCACGCAGAACACAGTGTGATGGCGTTCAAGAAGGGCACCCAGAACTTCACCACAACAGATCCAACCTACACCATTCCAGTGGTCCGCACTCACAGCACCGAGACACCTGCCACGGTGAAATGGCGCACCAAGAAGGCCCAGCGCTTTGAGTTATCTGGCCCTCTGAAGTTTTCTCCCGGAGAGACAGAAAAGAACATTGTGATTGATCCAAAAGCCCACCCCAGACCCATCCAGCCTGAGACCTTCCAGCTTGAGCTATTTGAACCAAGTACCAACGCTTCTATTGGAGACAAGAAGACCACCGTTGTCAATGTCACAGATGGAGGTAAGACACACGTGAGGTGATGTTAAGTGAACACAAACACATTCATCCAAAGATTTACTGAAATGGCATTTGAGAAGTTTCAATCATTGTGAAACAGAATTACTGCATGTTTGTTTATCTGGTAATTCCTTCCAATCCCCACAGTTCCAAGATCTCCTGAAATAGAACAGAATGTACACAAGGGCTTCATACCCATGAAAGGTACCTCACCTGGTGGTCACCTCCTCTCCCCAGAAAACCCTAAGGCTGTAGCAACTGGACCCAGAAGCATCCGCCTCAACTGGGAACCTCCACCTGGTAACCCCATGGGGTACAAGGTACGCGAAATATCGCTGATAAGGCCTTGAAACAATATTTATCAAACTCACTGACTCCTAATCGGCCGTTCACACTGCAGAAGCGAACAAATTTCTTTAAATCACGCTTGATTTTTCTGATTGTTATGCACGAAAAAAACAGGTCTCACCAACCACATCACTGCATTTGGCAGCTTTTTTTAGGACAAATTTTCTGCAAAACATGCACGACTTTCAGTCGAGTTCAAAAAAATTCAGGATTTTATTTCATTTTTTCGCAACGCGCTCGGTGTGTAGAGGGCTTTAGTTTTTTGCAATATTTATCAAGTCAATGTTTTCTTTTAGGTCAAGTATTGGATCTATGGTGATCCAGAGAAAAATGCCCAGGTCTTAGATGTAAAGACTCCACATGCTGACTTGACCAACCTGTATCCCTACTGTGACTATGAGATGCGAGTGTGTGCCTACAATTCAGTGGGAAATGGCTACGATACTGACGTCGTCACCTGTCAAACAATGGAGGATGGTAATTACTGTAAACCCAGTCAATTTCTGTTAAATGCAACTTATTTTTTTAACATTAAAGACCAGATTCCTCCAGCTTATAGCTAATAAGGATGCCGTGGTTCAATGCAATCATGTTACGATACAATTTACCCCCCACATTAGAGCTAGTTTGTTTGGAACAACCTGTCTCAAGGCTAAATTTAAACTCACAAGTGGCCGCTGTGGCATTTTCCCGTAGTGCCCGGAGAACCTGGTCGTTTGGCCTTCAATGTCATCAGTCCAACTGTCACTCAGCTCAGCTGGGCAGAGCCTGCAGAGACCAACGGCAACATTACGGCTTACGAGGTCATCTACACGCCCATCGATGACGATATGAGTAAGAGACCCGCTCCTAAAACACAAAAGTTCTTCACATGAGCTGAGAGCACCAAAGTTTGATTCTATCCTGTTGCTTCTCGCAGAGCCAGTAGGACCAGCTAAGAAAGTGAAGATCGACAATCCTAAAAAGCGAATGCTGTTGATCGAGAACCTCCAGAACGCACAAACCTATCAGTACAAGGTCCGTGCCAAGAACAGCGTGGGCTGGGGTCCCTTCAGAGATGCAACCATCAACTTGGCATCGCAGCCAGCCAGACCGCTGTCCAGTAAGTCTGTGACAAAGACTTCCCCAGAGCGCTCAGCCTCCATGAGAAATCATTTACCCCTTTCTCTTTCTTTCTGCCCCCAGTTCCCATCATTCCAGATGTCCCCATTGTGGATGCCGAGGCGGGAGATGAGTACGACGGCTACCTGATGTACAGCAACGAGGTGCTGAAGTCACCTGTAGGCTCCAAGACACCCAGTGTGTCTGGTGACGGTGGGTATCCAGAGCCAAAAGCACAAGCTCCTCTTAAGAGCTGATAGTGTCAGAGAACGAGCTGTGACTGTAACGTGGATCCAGTTATTTCATTTCATACTCTTGATGCTCCGAGGCATCGTGTGTGGCCCTCCTGAAACAGAAGGAACATACATACTTTTCCTTTTTTGGGTTCTTTCTAATTTATTCAGGTTTTTAGTATAAAACGGCTGAAAACATAAAAAAAGACCCACCAGAGCTCTGAGACTGTGTTATTCTCAAGGCTCTGTCATGCTTTTTTAATACCACTTCCATCTGGCGGCCTGTTTTTCCTACAGGCAGCGCCCGAGTCAAGCAGCAGCTAAAGTCTGCTTCCACTGCATCCGCAGAAATATGCAGTAGATGTCTCTGTGATCACAAACCAAAATGTCTTCAGTCTGCTGTCACTCCCCTGCTTTTTGCAGCCATTGTGTTGCTCTCATTTTTCTCCAGTAGTGCTAAAGTTGCTACTCGCCTCCGAGATAGTTTGCACTTTAGCGATATATAATCACATCTACAGTACATGCATGCAGTTTGTCTTGTAAAGTACTCTATAGCAAAACAAACAAACCCACCCTTGGCCTGCTTGCTTCTCCACTGTAACCACCAAATCAAGGCTGGAAATATGTCAAGTTGGTGGGGTCCAACCTGGATCTCCGTAAGGTGTCGTGGAAAAGGCGAGTGGATGTCATCCCCAGTCGGCTCAGCACAGACACAGAGACGAGCTCAGATGAGACCCCCAACCCCAGCTACACCAAAACACCCCTGCCAGGTGAAGACCACTCCATCCGACCCCGCAGATAGGCTGCCGGCATGCCAGCTGTTACGCACGGCCAGTCATGCTCCCAGCAAGGCAACAACGTTTCTCTCTGCTTTCGTGGTTTAACTCATACTCAAATGTTACCACTTGTCCTTAGTCGGCACCTGCCCCATCTATCCTGCCCAGAGACGAGCACTGGCATCAACTGCTGCACCTCCAGTTGATGATCGGGTCTATTCTCTTTGTGTCCCACTGGGGAGGTTGTGATCTGGAGGCAGCTTGCCTGTGGTATAAAGCTGTATTACAAGCTTAGTTAGTGTGCAGAAGCACAGAATAAACAGGCTTTTTGGGGGGTTTTAATAATTGAAATACAGTTTCATCTCTGC